CAGATTGTAATTTCAGTGGACAATGTGGCTGTTGAATTTTGTCACCACTCTGTTTTCTGCTAGGGCCTCTACTGTTCTTCCTTAAGCTGCTCTGTCTTTAGCACAGGCTGAGTTCTTTTAAAGGAATCTCATACCATCTTAACCCTGATGACATTTAACTGTACATCATGAAATGTCTAAGTTGGAGCTGTTACACACCTGCTTAGACTTGATTTAAAACCTGGATGGCTGGGAGCTTTCTACAACTGAATGATAAGACTGAGACCCTCATCTGTGTCCCAGACAAGCTGGTTTCCAAAGCCATAGACTCTCTTGGTCAGCTTTCTCACACCAAACCCTCTGTCAGGAATGTCGTTGTGACCTTTGACCCAGGTTCAGACATTCAGACAGCATTATAGAGCCATTGTGATAAACTGGCCAGTCACCATGCCATTCATTTAATATTTATGTATTGAATATTCATGTACTCCTCAACAGAGTAGTTGAGTAAAACTATTCCATGCGAAATTTTTAAAATAAAGTAGTCATGCACACTTTCACAGAACCAGCTACAGCAGCATTATGCACTGGAACCACTTTTGTGGAAACACCTCGTGTGTTGTGCCATTTGTAATTGTAAAGAAACACTAAACAGTTTTCCCCTTTTAAGGTACAGAACTGTCAAGCGATAATTCTGACACAGAGTACCAACCATCGAGGACTGATTCTTCCAGTGATGAAGACATGACCTTGATGAAACCTACCCCATTCATCCAGCTAAAAAACAAAAAGGCAAAAAAGAAAAACATGTCAGTAAAAAAACAAGTTCTAAAATCAAAACATAAACGGCAAGTTTCTTTAAAAGAGCAAGACATAGAGGAACGAAAACAAGAACAAATATCTGTGACTGATTCATCCAGTGATGAAGATGGGACCATGTTGGACTGTACCCCATCCATCCAGAAGAAAAACAAAAAAGCTAAAAAGAAAACAGTGCTTGTAAAAAAACAAGACTTAAAATATAAACATAAACGGCAAGTTTCTTTAAAAGAACAAGACATAGAGGAAGGAAACCATGAACAAACAATTACGTCTGTGACTGATTCATCCAGTAATGAAGACAGGACCATGTCGGACTGTACCCCATCCATCCAGCAGGAGTCATTCAATCCAGCAGAAGTCAAAGGAAATCATGAAATGATAGTCAATGTGAACAAAGAAATGGATGGAAAAAGAAAATGGGACAAGGTCCATTACTGTTTTTTTTGTAAAAGACCTTTTTCCAAAATCTCGAGACATTTGGGGCGCAAACACAAGGATGAAAAAGAAGTATCTTATGCATTCAGCTTTCAAAGTGGCTCCAAAAGGCGTAATATGCTATTGGAGTCCCTTCGCAACAAAGGTGACTGGGAACACAATAAGCAAGTTTTAGAAAAAGGCGAAGGTGAAATTGTAACGTGGAAACGGCTTTCAAAGACGATGGATGTAAATGATTACTTACCGTGCCAACACTGTTACGCGATGTTTAAGCGAAGAGCACTTTGGCGGCACGAGAAAACTTGCAGGATCTACCTTCTAGAGCAGGAGGGTGACAATATGCAAGAGAAACGTGGGAGAAAAAGAGTACAAAAAGCTTCTTCCTGTCTGATTCCGATTTGTGAATCATCTGAGGGATTTGAAAACATAATCCACAATATGATCCAAGATGAAGTGAGTGTACAAATCAGAAATGATGACATGATTTGTAATTATGGCAATGCATTATTTGCCAAAAAAGGACGGGAGCAATCCCAGCATGTTCATATATCCCAGAAGTTGAGAGAGCTTGGGAGGCTTTTGATAGCTGCCAAAGAGATTGACAAGAGTATTAAAGCTCTTAAAGATCTTTGTGACCCAACCAGATTTGAGGTAGCAGTTAAAGCTGCAAGAAAAGTTGCTGGTTACAGGAACAGCACTTCAGAATATGGCAAGCCATCTACTGCTGTTAAAATTGGATTTTCTCTAAAGGGAGCTACTGAAGCTTGGATTGGACGTTGCCTAATGGCATCAGATGTGTTGGCTGAAAAGAAGGCAAAAAAGTTTAAAGAGCTGATGGATAGGTCTTGGTCAAGCTATGTTGCAACAAATGCTCACAGCTCCCTTGAGCAAAGAAAGTGGAACAAAGAAGACTGTGTCCCTCTGACAGAGGATGTTATTACTCTGCAAAAATATTTAAGACAAAAGGAGGATGAGGCAAAGGAGGAGCTGAAAATAAATTCAAGCACTACAGCATACAAGCTATTGAGTGAATGTCTTCTTGCACAAATAATTGTATTCAACAAGAAGCGTGAAGGGGAAGCATCCCGCTTGACCCTGGAGACATATATGAAAGCAGACACTGGCCCAGTTAACAAGGACATCTACGAGACACTCTCACCAGTGGAACAACAAATGAGCAAGAGGCTTACACGTATAGTAACTCGTGGAAAGAGAGGGAGAAAAGTACCTATTCTCCTCACTGAGCGCACAAAGACATCTCTTGACTTCCTAATTGCAAAGCGAGAAGATGTTGGTGTGCTCGATGAAAACCCATTTGTGTTTGCAAGGATCGGGACAACAACAAACATCCGTGGCTGTGACGCACTGAGAAAGTTTGCAGAAGATTGTAAGGCAAACAATCCAGAACTACTTCGGTCAACCAAATTAAGAAAACATGTTGCAACTCTGTGTCAGCTTCTTGACCTTAACAATCAAGAATTAGAACAAATGGCACGATTCATGGGACATGACATCAGAGTGCATTGCGATTATTATCGGCAAACTGATAAGACTTTTCAGGTTGCAAAAATTGGAAAACTTCTGTTTGCATTGGAGAGTGGTGCCAAGTCTCTGAAAGGGAAAAACTTAAAGACTCTGGACTCAGTAGTCTTGGGTATGTATTCTTGGTTGTTGTTTTTTCTTTCTTTCTTTCTTTCTTCTAAAGAATTTGGGGCACTTTTACACCAGACAGTTCTAGGAGATTCAGTCCAGTGTGACCAGGAGTACTGCAAAATGTTATCTTCATTTTATTATTTCTTTTTACTTTAACCAGGCATGTTAAGATACATTTCTTGTGTTCAACTGTGGCCTAGTAATAAATGTAGTTTTTGGGGGGAAAGGGAATTAAAGGGCTATTTTGTTTGTGTTTCACATTTGAGAGGAGACCAAGTGCTTGTTATGACATCATGTCCTTGCTGCATCCTTTATTGGGGGTCATTACAAGCAACTGTAAAATTGTAATTGACAAGACTTTAGATGAGCTGTAGCTCAACAGGTTGAGCGGGTTGTCCAGTAATCAGAAGGCTGCAGGTTCGATCCCGGCTCCGGACAGAGAATTCTGCTATTGTGTCCTTGGGCAAGACACTTAACCCACCTTGCCTGCTGATGGTGGTCGGAGGGACCGGTGGCGCCTGTGCTCGGCAGCCTCGCCTCTGTCAGTGCGCCCCAGGGCAGCTGTGGCTACATCGTAGCTCATCACCATCAGTGTGTGAATGGATGAATGATACACTGTAGTGTAAAGCGCTTTGGAGTCCTTACTCTGAGAGGCGCTATACAAGTGCGGGTCATTTATCATTAAACTCTTGGTATTTTCTTTGAAACACGAGCCAATAGTTACCTAAGGCTTTAATTTTCAAAAAACGATTTATTTCAACAGGGTATGGTGGACTCCTTCCATTGAATTATTTCTGTAGCAATGAAAACATCACATTGTTTGTTGATCTGACTGGTCATAGCTGTCCAATTGCTTGAAGAGAGTTTGAGCAACAACTGTAGATCCCACCAAACGAGCGTGTTCTGTCTACAACCATTTTTCCAACAGCCCTACTCAGCCTAACCCCGGTTTCACATTGAAAGCATCAGCAGCATGGAATGGTAATCCCCGCTAATTTTCTAAATAAAACTACTGCAGCAATGCAATTTCATATATATGAAGCTTACATGTTACCTAGCAGCTTATTTACTCCCAGTATCGTTCCAGAAGTGCTGCGGTGTGTTTTCATGTCTTTAATGAAAGTGTAGAGGAACAACACCATATATGACACCAAACAGCGATATCAAACGTGATTTAATTCTTTTTGGTTTAATGGCGGATTGCATTAACAAACCATGAGCTTTGAAGTCTCGAGGGATCTTGTGATCTCGCAAGGAGGATGGCGTAAATCTTGGGATTTTTTTGTGTCGCGAGTCAAGTGAAGAGTGAGGAAGCCGTGCCGCAGCCAAGACAACCCAGTGTGAAAAGGACCGATTTGAAGTTTGCACTGCTGATGATTCCAGTGTGAAACCATGGTAAAAGAGCTGAGTACAGCATGGGTTTACTCTGCTTATGTCAGTGTAGTGTTTTACTTTCCAGCACCATGACAAAGTAGATGAGCTCTTCATACCGCACAGAGGGAGGAAATGGGGTGGGCATGGTGTGGGTTGTCTTGAGAACAAAATTGCATGAGGGGATCAGTAAACAGTGCGAGGTGACGTGTATGATGCACATAAACACAACTCGGCACAAAAATTGTGGTGATGTAGAACATTCTGCTCAGTTTTAATGCCCTTTTGTCAGACTCTAAACCAAGAAATGGTTGCAGGCAGCAGGCAGACCCTTGCAAATTGTTTGCCAATAATCGCAATGCTGAACTGACTCAACCCATGTAACTACATCAGAGCAGGGACTACAAAAATTGAGAAAATGTGGAGAGATGATATAAAACTGTTTTTGGAAAAGGTTACCAGCCCGAGCTGCACTAATCCAAGTTACTATGTAGTGTCATTTGAAAAGGCCTATATGGGTTGTTTCCAGACTATACATTTACATATTTAGGTTTCCTTGCCAGGTTACATTTGCCATGCTTTCTCAAGGTGAAGCAACTCCCAAAGAAAAAACACTGATCTGTTGAAATTGAAACAAACCGATCTGGTGTGAAAGTGCCTCTTGACTTTGAGAAAATACAGTTGAGTTTTACATATGAGTTCACTAGACTAAATGTCTTTTTCCTTAACCACCTCATTAGATGAAAAGAACTCCACATTTGATCGTGGAATCGAAGAGAGGTCGAGAGTCATTGTGGAACAAGAACTACAAGTTGATGGTAAGTAAAATCTTCTGGAACCATAAGAAAATAAATAAATATATATCAAGCAAACTGTAATAATGTTGATCACATAGCTTATCTTTGAAATCTAAGAGCATAAACCTTAAAACTATGGGCAGACCAAGTATTGATTAAGGAAATACTGTTATTATTGCCACTAAGAATTAAAAATTGACTACTGGAAATGTAATTTTCTTTTGCAATTGCCATGATTTAAAGGAGTGGGTGATTTAATACATTTACAGTGGTCTCTAGTAGGATTTAATGCCTTGTAAGTTAATCTTGGTGGGGGGAACAAAGCGGTGCACCATTTTGTAGACCTAAAAGTTCCCACTTTACAGATGAGCTTCATACGGCAGGTTCTGGAGTCTTATTTCCTGTTATTTGTCATCCCTCCCTGGATTCTATAACAGCAAAGCAACTCTACCACTGGCTTGCAAAGTGGATGTTTTATACCCACAAATGACTGAAGGAGCTTCTGCCGTGTGGTGGTGTTGCTATTGCTAACGGTTAGCTTCTACTAGCTATGACTTCCGCTGTTGATTACCGAACAATGAAACAACAACCTTCCCCATCGTGAGTGAAGATGGCTAACTCCATGAATGCTAATTGTCAGTGTGATGTACAGTCCTTGGCCACGTAACGCATTAAAGCAAATTTCTAATCTTCCAATCACATGGTGGCAACTCAATGCATTTAGGCATGTTGATATGATCAAGATGATTCGCAGCAGTTTAAACAGAGATTTAAAATGTGGAAGAAAGGTTATTAATTGAATTTTAATCTGGCATGGCTGTTCCTGCCAGATGGGCTAGTCTTGAGTACCGTATTTTCCGCACCATAAGGCTCACCTGATTGTAAGGCGCACAGCCAATCAGCGTCCTAGTTAAAGGTTTGGTCCGCACATAAGGCCCACCTGATTATAGGGTGCACCCAGCAAAGCAAACGAGCGCACACTTTAGACAAATTGGGAAATTAGATCCAAGTCAGACGTTACTTCACTCATTATCTATGCTAAAAATAAATTTCTCATTATTAAAGTAACATTTAGTCCCAACTTAATGCACGGATGCTTTAAGCAGCAAGAATGAACAATCAGGCTGTTTAACAAACAAAAGTCCCATTTTTACGCGCAGGCATGGCTTGTGCAAAGATGCGCATTCAAACAGCGGCAACACAACTGTTTGCTTATGTTTAATATAAACATATTTAAAGTCCCAGTTTCACACAGAGCGCTGTTGCCCATTCGAATCGGAAAAAAGTATGGTACTCACATATTTTTTTCATTACTCGTCCATGAATCCCTCAAAATCCTCATTCTCCGTGTCTGACCCAGTCTGAAGAGCTGACCCAGCACTGAACCCAGCGCGCCTGGCACATCGCCATCAGAGTCCGTGTCACTGTCGTTGCTCGGCTCTCCCTTTGTGATCCCGGCCTTGGTGAAAGCTCGAACAGTCTGGACGGAATGTCGGCCCAGGCATCAGCGATCCACTCACAGATGGTGGCATAACCCCCAAATTCCACTACCTCCGCTCCGCTCCGGTCCGCCCCCGCCTTCCGCAGCCGCTCGCTTCCGAACTCAAATTATACTATACCCGCTCTACAATGGCTCTGCTCCGGTGCGGAGATCTGAGGTGGGCAAACAAGCATGCGCGGGATTTTCGAGATCTTGCGATACAGTCTGAGCAATAAACGCGGAAGTTAGATCCAAACACCCGTTGTGTGGGAGAAGCATCGGCATGAACTGTTTAATCTGCCCATCATTTGTGTTGAGAGATCAGCAGTGTTTTGGATCAACAAAGTGTGACTACTTTGATAGTAGAAACTGTATTTATGGCTTACTTTTGTGCATTTAAACTTCAGCCGCCATTGATAGTTGTTAAAAGTTGTTAAACATGTGCATATGAAACAAAAAACGCCTTTTGTTTATCGATTTATTGTGAAAAACGGAAGTTGTGCTTGCTCCTTTTCCTGTTGGGCAGTTGTGATTTCTGTCCATTTACTGCGGAGGTGCTCCGGCGTCCGGCGAAAATAGGATAGATTCTATTTTTGCCGGACGCCGGAACAGAGGGCGGCGCACGGCGCCGCACTGCCGGAGCATGGCCGCAGTAGTGGAATTGCTCTGATTGACCACAACGGGACAGATTTTGCTCCGGCGTTCGTGTCGGAGCGGAGGTAGTGGAATTTGGGGGTTAGTCCCTCCAGTGTGAGCTCACACAGCATCTCTGCAAACAAATGTTGGATCCTCAACAGTTTAGGTGGGTGGGTTCATGACTAGTGTGAGGTAAATCTGTGCTAGTTCCCCTCATTGTGGATTTTCAATAATGGACTTTTTTGACAATGATGAGCTTGTTTATTTCTTTTTACACATGTATGTTCTAAAATCAGATGGAGAACTCCATCAGAGTTTTGGTCTGTTTATTTTTGTATTGTTTCCAGATGAAGACCGGAGGCTCTCAGCTCACTCAACAAGTGAAACTGCAAACCAAATGTTGACTGCAGCTATCCAAGAATCTGATGGCGATTTGGAAGACGACTGTGATATTCATGGTAAATGCCAGTACAGTTGATTATTGAGCTTCTTGGTTACTTTGAATGAAGACAAACTCACTTTTTGGTTTTCTGAAGAGGTTTCACTTGTCATTCAATGTTTCAGTTCTGCTCCTCAAGTAAGAGGGAAACATTTTAAGGCAACCAAAATGCAGTTGTCTTCATTCAAACACACCAATATTAACATGACTTACAGTTTCAAGAAAAAGTAAGTGAACCATTTGGAATTATATTTTTGGAACAAATTGGTCATAAAATGTGATCTGGTCTTCATCTAAGTCACAACAATAGACAATCACAGTCTGCTTAAATGAATGGCTCATTTCCATCGACCGTTTTAGCATTGAATGGGAAGGATCGGGTCGCTAAATTTGCTGTTCCGATTGTTCTGTCTAGACAACTTGCTTTTACCACGCCAGTCACAGGACTTTTTGGGCTTCCTTCTGTTGTAGGCCCAGAAATTTCTGGAGCGGTATGGTTAGGACAGAGCAACAACACATGCCACTGACTGGTTGACAGAAATTACTCACAACTTGCAACAAGCAACACAAACGGAGTTCCGTTGTTTGTATTTTTGTTAGCTGTACATGAATGTGAAAAAAAATGCCAGCAAGTGGCAAGTTTTGGTCACATTCATAGTTCCATACGGTCACCTACAGAGTTCCACACGTTTCTCACCTACATCGTGACAGTCCACAGGAAGAGCTAGATTGATAGGTAAGAAAGGTTTGTTTTTTTATCAGCTGATGGAAGCCAAAGGATCAGAGTGGACTTCGGCACAGTATTGTGCCAAGATGAAGAAATTAAAGCTAGGCTGGACCGTGAAAGCAGACCCATACTGGAACACACCAGTCCAAAAATAACCAGACCCAATCGTTCTAGACCCGGCAATGGAAGTACCCTATTATATCACACATACAATTCTGTTTCCATGTTTTTATTGAACACATCATGTAAACATTCACAGTGCAGGTAGAAAAAGTATGTGAACTCTTGGTTTTAATAACTCAAAACCTCCTAAACTCTAACCTCCTTGGGCAGCAATAACTTTAACCAAACATTTTCTGTAGTTGCAGATCAGACCTGCTCAACGATCAGTGATTCTTGACCATTCCTCTTTGCAGAACTTTTTCAGTTCAGCAATATTCTTGGGATGTCTGGTGTGAATGTTTTCCCGAGGTCATGCCACTGCATCTCATTCGGGTTGAGGTTAGGACTCTGACTGGGCCACTCCAGAAGGTGTATTTTCTTCTGTTTAAGCCATTTTGTTGATTTACTTCTATGCTTTGGGCCATTGTCCTGTTGTGTCACCCATCTTCTGTTGACCTTCAGCTGGTGGACAGATGGCTCTAAGATCTCCTGCAAAAAGTTAAATTTAAAATGTCTTGATAAACTTCGGAATTAACTTTGCTCAAGCTGATGCCACATCAGCAGGCCCTGATGCCACAAAGCAGCCCCAAGCCATGATGCCCCTACCACCATACTTCACAGTTGGAATGAGGTTTTCATGTTGGTATGCCATGTCTCTTTTTATCCACACATACTGTTGAGTGGTTCTTCCACAACTCAGCAACTCAATATTTCCACAGAATATTTTCCAGTGCTGCTGTGGAACATCCAGGTGCTTTTTTGCAAACTTTAAACATGCAGCAATTTTTTTTGGGACAGCAGTGGCTTCCCATGAACTCTTGAGTCTTTTATGTCTCGTACATTTGCCAACAGGAATGTTGGCAAATGCCACAGATTTTTGTTAGTCTTTACACTAGAGGATTATTCTGCGCCACATTGATAGGACGGCCACTCTTAGGGACAATAGCAGCAGTGCTGAACTTCTCAATTTATAAACATCAATGTTTTGTACATAATTTTATAACCCTTACCAGTTTTATGCAAGTTAACAACTCTTAATTTTAGGTCTTCTGGGCTATTTTGCATGACGCATTGTTCACATCATGCAACGCTTCTTGAAAAAAGCAAACTCATAACTGGTGTGTTTTTATAGGGCAGGTCAGTTTTAACCAACACCTCCAATGTCATCTCATTGATGGGACTCTAGTTGGGGGACCCCTGACTCCATTTAGCTATTGGATGTCATTAGTCTAGGGGTTCACATACTTTTTCCACCTGCACGGTGAATGTTTACATGTTGTGTTCAATAAAAACATGGAAGCATTTACTTGTGTGGTATTAGTTTAAGCATACTGTGATCTTGACTGTCTATTATTGTGCCTTAGATTAGGTTCAGATCATATCTTATGATAAATTTGTGCTGGAATTCACATAATTCCAATTTTCTTGCAACTGTATGCATGGAAACCTTTACCAGCATTTGGCTTTTTAGCTGACAATTCAAATACTTTACTTAAATAAATTGTATTGTTCCTTAGATGGAGAGTTGCAACCCACAAGTTTATCAAAGAAACTTGTCAAAAGAAGAAAAGCCCAAAAAAGACATGCAGACAATGGTGATGGTATGTTATGGCAGACTTTGGAAATTAGGCCAAGACTGATTTCAACTATGCTGATTCACATGTATTGATTTAAACTTTTTAATTAGACAGGGGATTGCTGAACTTGTCTGTGGAAGAGAAACATGGCAAAGGACAAAACTCTACTACAACTCTCAAGGAGGACAGTGACGGAGATGAGTGTAAGTCCAGTCTTTGGGAATGCAGATAACGTGCTCTGGCCTCTTTCTGAACTATTTCTATATCATGGTTTTGTGCTTTTCAGATGGAGCAAAGCCTTTTGGGATTTCTTCCACAAGCCCGGTCCAAAGAAAGAAAATGAAAACCAAGCATGGAGTGGCTGCTGCTGATCCTGCTCAGTGCGGTTCGTACAAATTAATTTGTTTGAATAGTGGTAGTTTAAAACAAAAGTCAACTTGAGGCCTTTCATAAGTCAAAATTGGCTATTTCAATTGGATTTGAGGTCTCAATTGCCTCTGTAAACACTACAAACATGAAATAAAATTATCAATACATTTTCTGTTATTGTTTGGTTTAAGTAATGATGTGCCTTAAACAACCTCTTTTCAATATCCCTTATTGAGATGTCAAATTAAAAACCAGCAAGTAACTTGACCTGTAAGCAGAATCTTGAGCTTTGAACAGGGACCACAATGCTGTCCAATTATTGTTTCTGGATCGGGAATTCTTTAAAGCTGCATTGCTGCATGAATTCAAGCAAAATGAGGTCAAGACAAGTATTGATGCATAGAAATAAAGAGTTTTTAATTTGAAAGTTTCTCTCTTATAGGGGCAGCAGTAGCTCAGGAAGTTGAGTGGGTTGTCCAGTAATCTGAAGGTTGCAGGTGCGATCCCGGCTCCAACCAAACAATACTGCTGTTGTGTCCTTGGGCAAGACACTTAACCCACTTTGCCTGCTGGTGGTGGTCGAAGGGACTGGTGGCGCCTGTGCTCAGCAGCCTCGCGTCTCTCAGTGTGCCCCAGGGCAGCTGTGGCTACATCGTAGCTCATCACTACTAGTGTGTGAATGTGTGCGTGAATGGGTGAATGGTACACTGTAGTTTAAAGCACTTTGGAGTTCTCCGACTATGAAAGGCACTATACAAGTGCAGGTTATTTATCTTATCTTGCATATTTTATATTTTCTGAGACACTTAAGGCCTGAAACATTAAAGCCTTTAATGCATTTTTGAGGGTTTTGTATTCTCACAATAGTGAAGAAAAATATTGAATTGTGTTAAAATTCAGATTAAAAAATATATATACTTGTAATTTTAAGAAATTGCTTTTAGCTGTATGTCATGTTAATCTTAACATGACATACAGTAAAATCATAAAGAAATTGAGGGCAATTAAATAAAGGCAGCATCAATTAAAGATATATCTTCTTTTTTGTAGGTCTGTCGCAAATTAAAGGGAAGACCCCATGGAATGAGCAGGAGAAGCTGGCAGTTAAGCGACACTTGGCTGTTTTTGTGGCACTGCGAAAGGTGCCAGGAAAAAAAGACTGTATCCTATGCATTGAAAAATCCTCTCCTGTTCTCCAAAAGAGAACCTGGAAAGATGTGAAATATTATGTGTATAATGAAATTATAAAGATTACAAAATCACTAAAACATTAAAGCACTTCTAAGTTTCTCGATTAAAAAAAGAAAAGAAAAAATGTGATTAAGGCCAAAGTAATGGTAAGTTATTTAGAGAAAAGCCACTTGTTAAAATGATTTCAAGATGGTCATTTTTAGTTTTTGGATATGTTTGGTACTAAGTACACTTGTACACTTTTAGGTTTTTACTAATTTGCTATCTCTGCTAATGTTCTTTTTGAACTTAAATGCCAAAGCCATGTTAAGCTATGTTTTAAGAAAAGCATGTTTTGTGGATGACGGCTTTGATTTTATTTATTCTAATTTTTTTTACAGAGATTCACCTTTTGTTATTTTTGAAAAAATGTTTTGTGAATGACGGCTTTTATTTTTTTACTTTTTTTAACAGAGATTCACCTTTAGTTATTTTTACAACACTTACACAAATGTTAATGTTTAAAAAGCTGTCCGGCTTCTGTTTATATAATAAAAATGTGCTAAAATGCAATGGAATCAAATAATTTGAAAATATATTAACTTGCAAGTTTGACTTTATCAAAGAACCACACAACTGAAGTTACCTTATTGTGTTTTAGTAAACTGACCATTTTCTCTAAAAAAAAAAAAAAGGGCTTCTTCTTGCTTCTAACATTTATTTAATATTCACAATATATATATTTAAAGAAACATATCAGACATGTTTGTTTTGTTCCAAAATATGAGATCAACAGTTACTATTTCATAACTTTAAAGAGGGGGGGGGGGGGGGGGGGGGGGGGGAGAGATCAGCTGAGCAATTGGTCCTCAGTATGCTGGTTAAAAACTTTTTTTGAAAAATGGCAATATTGCAATATCTAAAGGAGTGTTTAAGTTGGTTTTTACACCCAATATCCAGAAATCATTTTTGTTTGTCTCTAAGTACATCACAAATGGTGGGCCTCAGTTTGTGAGTAGTTTTACTTGGTCCTCAGTATGTAGTAAGTACAAGAATGTGTGTGTGTGTGTGTGTGTGTGTGTGTGTGTGTGTGTGTGTGTGTGTGTGTGTGTGTGTGTGTGTTTACGCGTCAGAGCATGTAGGGATCAAATCGCTTTACAGGAGTTCACACGAAAGGCCATTGCTTATATTTTCGAGGTGGGAGCCGAGTTGGGGCATCATATTGAGGACCCTCCATTGACTTCCATTCATTTTTGTGACTCCACTATGCCTAAGCCA